GTTCCACAGTCTCAATACACAGGAGCAGTATGTGGGCTTTATGTTTTGGTATATAATAACATCCACCTCACATTGTAGGTGCCTCCCAGAGTCTCCCAGGTGGCTGATATCTCAAGGAAAAAATGACAAAGCTATGAAAATTGTCAGGCATATGGCTAAAACAAATCGAAAAAAGATGCCTTCCCATTCTGAGGTGAGCTCAGGGTTTGCTTGTGCAAGTAAGTAAGCATTACGTTAGTATCTTCTGTCAGTTTCTCCCAGTAGAAACTTACTGTACTGTGTACTGACTCTTCTGCAGGATATTAAATTTGAAGAGGAAGATGCTGGAAAGCAGAGCCCTTCACTCCTTGACCTCGTCCGGACACCACAGATGAGAAAAAACACATTCATTTTGATGTACAACTGGTAAGAAGATAATGTTGGATAACTATTTTTGAAGCTCAGGTTTTGAAGGATCCAGCAGGTCATAGACCTCTGTACTCTGACTGACTAACAAAGCTGGGATGCCCTTCTCTGCCTAGGTTCACAAGCTCCATTCTCTACCAGGGACTCATCATGCACATGGGAGTAGCTGCTGACAATGTGTATCTGGATTTCCTCTATTCTGCACTTGTTGAGTTTCCAGCTGCCTTCATCATCATCGTCACAATTGACCGTGTTGGGCGGCGCTACCCCTGGGCTGCAGCAAACCTGGTGGCTGGAGCCGCCTGCCTTGCCACAGCCCTGATCCCAAATGGTGAGTCACCTGGGTGAGGCCATGTGATGGTTTCCCACCCCAGTGTAGCCCCCTGGGAACAGCACTCACCTCTCCTTCCCTCCCTTTCCCCAAGGTCCAACTCCAAATTTTCACAAACCTATGCCCATCATCGGTTCCCGCCTCCCTGACTTTTAGTGGCACTCCTCATGCGGCAGAAGTGAAATGAGGTCGATCTGTAGGACTGCGAATGATAAATCTCAAAGCATCCGTGTCCCTCATGCTGCTTTGGGAGGGTCCCTGTGCCACAGCTCGTGCAGTGCTGACTGTTCCCATTCCCTTATTCACACAGGTGAAACAAGGCCCCTTAACATCAAGTGATGTGGGATCAGACATCCTGCTAAAATAACACTGATGTATTAATTGACACCTGCTAAATCTCTGGGAGACTTTTAAACGTGTTGAACACATTTTCTCTGCAGACATGCATTGGCTAAAAGTGATTGCTGCTTGCATCGGGAGAATGGGAATCACAATGGCTTTCGAAATGGTTTGCTTTGTAAACACTGAGCTGTATCCAACGTACATCAGGTAGGTGCATCCTCCTCTCCATTGACATTTTGACTAGAAACAAGTAGTTTAGGCCAATGTGTATGTTATGCTTTTTGACAGATTATATTATCCCCAAATGCTTCAGAGCTACACAAGTCCTGTTGAACATGAAGTAGGTGAAGCACAATTAAAATGCTTTATAAAGGTAGATTAATAAAGAAAACAAATGTGCTTTAAGGCAAGTGGAAACTCATGTGACTGAATGAAAGCAAAATGTGGAGACAAGCATGGCGCATGAGGGATCTGAAGTCCCACACAGTGATTTGTTCTGCGCAAAAGTCAGAGTTGTGATCTCTCCCTTTCCATCAGCAGTACTCTGACGCTAACGTGATCTTTCTGCTGTTGAACTAGAAACCTCGGAGTGATGATCTGCTCCTCCTTGTGTGATATTGGTGGAATCATTGTCCCATTCATTGTTTACAGACTGGTGGAAGTCTGGCATGATCTGCCACTGATAGTCTTCAGTAAGTGCCACTTTACGTTTTGATGAGATTAATATTTGATGGATTAAAATCTGGGGAATTACTGCTCTTCTGTGAGGTATATTGTCTTAGTCCAGAAGCCAAAACCTCTGTCTTCACATAATTGCCTATTTAATGGACAGTCAGCTCTGTTACTAGACAGACACTCATTAACTGGCTATTCTCCAGCTATTTAGAATCAGGATGGCAAATAAATACAAGATGAGTGTTTGCAGACTAATGACTTGAACTCTTAGGTCAGGATCTGCAAACCTTTTCTGAATCTTTAGATCAGCGCACTATTTATAAAAAAATATTCTTGAATGGCAACAAGCTGTTTTTAACACACAGGACATTTAGGAAGATGCTTAGTAGATTTAAAACACAGACAGTAAACTTATGCAAAGTAGGCAGCAGAAATTATCAGTGGAGAATTTAATCACACTCTATAGAGGTTAATACACTCTGCATGTATTTTTTAATCTTATATGAATAGCAGAAAAAAAATATTGCATTTCCTCACATAGTCTCAGAGAAGAAAGGATTCTTTCCTCTACAAAGGAAGGATTGGCTGTCCAGTTAGAGATGCCCTAGTTCAATGTATGACTTGCAGCTGAGCTTGGCTCCTTGCTGTCTCCCTGTGGCAGCCACATCCTCCAGAGGTGGCATGATGGTTTTGCATATAGAGCCTTGATGTGCACATCTAGTAAATGATATTTTATTTTGTTCTTCATATGACTCCTTTGTGTCAGGCAGTATAAAATGGTGTATACGCTGGGAATTTGTACAGACTAATGAGCTTTTTGTGCACCTGTTCAATTTGAAGCTGTTCTTGGTTTGATTGCTGGTGGATTGGTGTTGCTTCTACCTGAAACTAAAGGAAGAGTTTTGCCGGAGACTGTTGAAGATGTTGAAAACTTTCACAGGTGAGTTAGGATGATGAACTCTTAGCCTGGGCGTTACTTGGCTGCTTCCTGTGCCTTCAAGAAGTTGCTAGTTAATTCCCAGACTCTAGCTGGAGAGATTTTTGGACTCTCTTTTTATTTCTTGTATACCTAGGCATCTGAAAACAAGCGGCATGGCCTATGCATAGCTGTACTAGTCCCTCAAACCTGCTGCAATGCTACTATAAATGTTATTTTTGCTTAAAAAGAACTGTGGAACAGAAAAAGGACAGTCTTGATAATAGCTACTTATGTGGTGGGTGAAGCACCAGTATCTACTGAGGGGCCAGAGAAAACATAGAGGATTTGAGGACTATATGCTTGTTCACTCTGAGGGAGAGACAGAGCAAGTTAAGAACTTGAAGTTAGGTGCTCACTGAGCACCTTCATTCCTGATTTGCTGCTCATGTCATGTTATTCTTGCAGGAAAAGTTCTCCAAAGACCAAAACAATCTATCTCCATGTCCAAGCATCAGAAGACTGAAGAAAGCATAACTTTCTGGACAGGCTACTGTAGGATGGAAAGGCAAACTGGAATAAACACTCTCTCAGAAGTCTTGCCTCATTTTTGGCTGCCTATCCTTTAGTTACAGTATTTGGGTTTTTCTGATGGGATTGCTCCTATTACTGCATAGCTGTTTCCCTCTATGTACCCTGTAAGTATGTTTCAAGGCTGGGAAATTTTCACACCAGCTGCGTGTACCTCAACACAGGGACAGTTCTTAACGTGGGGATGGTGAGGTCCATCCCAACAAAACTGAGGTGACTACAAACCTTATACAGTCTTGTTAGAACTCTTTTTGTGTTTGTTTTGCTAACCCATATGTTATCGTGTTTGTGTGAGTTCCTGTGCCTACACAGTAGCTCTCATTGTGGATTTTGTTGGATTTGTACAAGGATGGGCATGTGGCAACTCCAAAGCAAGAGAAGGGGTGCATAGGAGAAGGACTCATAGTCCTTCATAAGGTAACAGCTTCATTCAGCCACTAAATCGTCTTGTTAAACATCATATTCCTAGTGAATAATCTGCAGAATTTTGTTAAAAAGCATATTCTGAGACTCCAGATGGGGCAAAAGCATTACAGCTACCAGGGAGGAGGGACTGAGAGCCCACCAGTCCTTCTCCACTCCAGGCTTAGGATGGGACTGGGGCCAGGACACAGCTGTACCTCTACATATTTGAAGGGAGCAGCCCTGCAGTGGTAGCCAGGCTTAGGCTTGGGGACCTACAGGACTCTGAACAGAGAGCATTAGGGACAACACTGGATCTGCCAAGAAATATCCAACACCTTTCACAAATTTCCTAGTACATCCCACTGAGCACCCTTAACAGACTTGTTGCAGAGGAAAACAGACACAAGAGTATTGTGGCTTCCCTTCCCTGTTTCTGTTGGTGGCCCCTAACAACTGCTGGGAAACACTGTTTTTCAACAAGGATGCTGTAAGCAGGACACAAAATACTGATGCCCTTTAATTACCATCTGCAGGGAGAGCGCCCAGCTGAGCCAGTTGTTGTTGGACTCTTGCAGGCAGGGTGAAATTCCTCCAGAATTGCTTCCTGGTGCAGTAGTAGGGTGACCTTGCCCTTGCTTTCAACTGGCCTGAGCCTCATTTAACGTTCAGTGTAGCTGTGAGGGCCTCAAAGGCAGAGAAGCATGTTGTCCAGTGAAGCAGGGCCATGATGAGATTGCTCTGAGAAGACCAGGGTTGGATGTGGAGTGACATGATTTTGGCCCAGGCACTTGCAAAACTAGTATTTACTTCATGGTCAGAGGGGAACAAGCTGGTCCTGAGATGGGCAAAGAGGGACAGCGGGGAAGTAATTAAGTGTCCTGTGGAGCTGGTGTCTTGCTGTGGTTGCAGAGATGTCTCTGCTCCACAACAAATGAAATCTATTAGAACAGCTTTGTTACAGTTCATTGACTTGAAATATGTTGAAAACTGCAAAAGGAAAATGAGGGAGGCAGCAAGAATTCAAGCAAGACAAATGCTGGGATGAATAAATAAGTAACTGCAGAAAGTGGCTCTCATGACCCTGCTGTTGCCACAGCAGGAGTTGCAGAGGTGGCAGATTCTGTCATGCCTTCGCTTCACAGTTGCCTACAAGTTATATTTGCTTTTCCTTCTAGTGGCACCTTAATGAGCACAGGGGCAAAAGTGCTTCATCAGTTTCCCTGCTGGTGACCTCGTCCATCCATGTATTGCTTCCTGGAGCTGGGAAGTCAATGAAACACATCAACTCTGGTCCAGCTGCACAGGGCTGCTCTCAAAGCACAGAGAGCTTTTATGTCCTGAGTGTGTGGTGGATCTCCTCCAGAGGGTGCGACAAGCTGCCACCTTCCCTTCCCCTTATAGGAGCTGAAGCTTGTCTGCTCCTGGGGCTGCTGGAGGTAACCAGCTCAGTGGCAGGGCTGATCCTGGAGCTTGGGAAGAAGAACTTCAGGGCCCAACCATGGGGTCGCCCAGGCAACCCCAGGACAGCTTGGACAGGACTGTGTCCAGGTTAATGAGACTGATCTTTTAAGATAGCAGCTAAGAAATACTGGGCTATATAAGGACTGTAAGCACAGTAAAATCTTCATGTTTCAGGGTGCCCACTGGCCTTCAGTAACCTCAGGTTTTGAAATGAGTTGTTCTTTACTTCTGCAAAGTTTCTGGTGTTCTCCCTGGCATCATCTGATGGACAGCCTGGCTGCAGTTGTGGCTGAGGTCAGTGCTTTCTATGCACTACGTTTGTCCTCTGCTGTTGCTGTCAGCACCAACATCCAAATAACACCATGCTGGCATAGCTGCTATTTGGGGACTCCAGTGCTAATTTTGCCCTATCAAATGCAGCTATAGGATCTGCAGTGTATCAGAGACTCATTAAGGCTTCTTGTCTGCAAGTTGTAATCTTAATACGTGTTTTTGGTCAAGGTGTTCTTGTGTGCATGTGTTCATGAATTGGCAGGAAAACACATCCTACAGGTCAGTGCAAAGCTTATGTGGTTTCCGGCTCCCCTGCTTGTTGTGTGATCAGAACAATGGTGTGCTAATTTTATTTGCAGCTTGCTCTAATCCCATCCCTACCGTATTTACATTCAGTAAATATTTTAAAATATGAAGAAATTGAGCTTTTTCCCAGAGCTGGGACTGTGCAGGAGACAAACCGATATCCAGAAAATATACATTAGTTGATGAATAGAATGTGAATCACATTTTAAGTGCTTCCTGAGGGCTGTGGAGAGGATCCTTTAACCTTCAAAAGCACTATAGCGGTGACTCTTCAGCACTTTATTGAGGGAGATTCTACTTAAAAAGCCATATCATTTTTACCCTTATTTTTTTGGCTCATCTTCCCTCCACCTCCCCTTCCCCTGCCTCAGTCCTTATCCCTTATGTCTGTTTTGGAGTTTGGCTATGAAAAAGCCAAGCTCATGATATTAGAAAATCAATTATGCATAAACATGAATATGCTTAATATGCAGTCCACAGTATCCTGTTACTTGTTTATGCCACTCCCAGTGTGTGTCTGTAATAGGTCTTTCTCCTGCCACACTGTCAGTGATCCCCCGATGTCCTGAGGCTTTGCTGCCAACAACTCCTCTTCACCTTCCTTTTCATTTTCCAGCTTGCCTAATATCCACTGAAATTCTGGAATGTCAAAGCTTAAAAGACAGTCTGGATGTAGAAATCCTTGTTTTTTCTACTTATTTCTCTTGAAGAAGAGTGGTAAACTGGGACAGAAGAGGGACTTCTGGATGCCCCGGGCTCCTGAATTGAGCTCTGCAGTGGTCCTGCTGGGAAACAGGAGCCATCCCATGATGATTCAATGATTCTGTGAAGCTGATCTGCTGGACATCTGGAGCCATGGACCAGCTGACACACCAAGATTTTAAGGTATGTAGGGGAAATTGTGACAGTAAATCAATTATTATTTACACACTTACTTTCATGCAGAATCAAGTGTAGCCTGGAGGAGGTAAGTTGGGTTCACAAATATGCTTCTGCTCACTACAGAAATGAATTGTGAGTGAGCAGCCGGAAGAGATTTTTAGCTTTGTAACAAGCCGAAGAAAGTGTTTCTTCATGAATTTCCCACTCATGCTGTGCAAGTTGCTGCTGCTGCCAGGATACCAGAAGCGTGAATGTGTTCAGAAGACAAAGAGAAAAATTTGTGGAAGACTGGTCCATGAGAAATGCACTCAGATGACCTCTGGCTCGGCAAGTCCCCAAGCCACAAACTGCTGGCAGCTGGGAGAGTGCAATGGGAAAGAGAACACCATGTTGCCCTGGCTCCTGCGCTGCAAATGGAGTTGAGGACTGGGCTTGCTGCGGCTGCTCTGCTGGCTCATTTTGCCTCCCTGCCCTGACAAAGGCAGATCTGAGGCAAAACAGGTCCTTGAGGTGCTGGAGCTTGTCTAAAAAAGGGCAGCAAAGCTGGTGAAGGGTCTTGAGAACAAATCTTACGAGGCGCAGCTAAGGCAACTGTCTAGCCTGGAGAAAAGGAGGCTCAGGGAAGACCTAATTGCTCTCTACCACTACCTGAAAGGAGGTTGTAGTGAGGTGGCCATCAGTTTCTTCTGCCGTGTAAGAAGTGATAGGATAAGAGGAAATGGCCTCAAGTTGAACCAGGAGGGGTTTAGACTGGACATTAGGAGACACTTCTTCACCGAAAGGATTGTCAAGCATTGGAGCAGGCTGCCCAGGGAAGTGGTGGAGGTATTTAAAAGACCTATAGATGTGGTGCTTAGGGACGTGGTTTAGTGGTGGACTTGGTATTGCTAGGTTAATTGTTGGACTCAATGTTCTTAAAGGTCTTTTCTGATCTAAACAATTCTATAATTACATGATTTTTACTTGTGGGCAGCTTCAGAAGTCAAAACATGGAGATAAATAATTTTTTCTTGGCTTCTCTCTTCCCTGTGGAAAGAAAGGGGAAAAGCCAGGTGATGCTCCTGGTGGTGAAGAGCAGGAACCATCAAATAACTCATATGCTTTCATTCACTGAAAACAAGGTTTAACGGATGTCTCATCACTGGCTTTTTTTCAAATGTAGTTAGATTATTTTGAAGAGCAGCACAATAAGGAGTAAATTGGGGACTTTCTGTGGCCTTGTCAGAGCTGTGTGGCTGTCTGGAAATACTATCACAACAGTAGCAGCAGTAACTTTAGCATTTCCTATTGTAAAAATTGTTATTCTAGGTTGTTAGTAAGTAATGTCTAGGTGTGTGGTTGTATGTATGGACTTCCTAACTTTTCCTAGAGTAATCTCTCCATGCTCTGCCCTGTGCTACGTTGCCATCCCTTTCTGCTCAGGCTGGGTCCTTTACCTCATGCACCCAATTTTTTTACCAGATCAGTAAAAAATCTGATTGCCTCTGCATCAGCTTCAGTAAATCTGAATGGCTCCTTCGGTGCCTGTAGAGCACTACTTTCACCCGGGGAGCTGCTCCAGCAGGCACAGACCATACCAGAAGGAGAAAGCATGGAAACCACAGGACATTCCCTGCATTGCTTCCCCAAATTTTAATCCACATCTCAGCCAGCTTTGTCCTCACCAGGTGTGATCATCTCTAGGAACATTGGTGGTCCCTTCACAGGTATAGCATCTTACAGGAGGTGAGACCCGAGGTGGTGAGCACACCTGGGCATGTGTGGGGTGCAGCTGCAGCCACAGGCGCTTAGATGGGACTGCATTCCCTCATAGAATCATAAAATCATACCCTCATGTTACTTTGCACAGATACTACAGCCAGCTAGGGTTTCCATGCTGTCAACTTCCTCTACTTTCCCTGGGGAGGCGTACCTCCACCATCTGCCTCACCTTCCCTGAGGATGGCTGACTGAGCTTCCAAAAGCTCCCATCTGCCGTGCCAGGGTGCTCTCCTGCTTGAAAGCAAGCTTTGGCTGCCAGCAGTGGCCGTGGCAGAGAGGACACATTTCCTCATTCTGACAGATGCTTCTCAAGGCAGAGTTGCTGAATGTGCTACCTAAGGAGCGTCCCAAGGCCAGATCGATGCTTTTAGGATGGCCTGTGAAATCACCCTTCACATCTTCTCTTACTGTTTGACTCTCACTTAGGGTGTTAGTGGATTCTGGTCAGGTCATGCAGGAGAACCCAGAGCTTGATCTTGCTAACCATCCACCATATTTATAAGTCTATAACCAAACACAAGAGACCCTTGGAAAAATAAAATAACTTTTTCTTAGCAGATTTTAAGGATGTAAAGGGGAGTTGCTTTAAGGGAGGGTCCTTAATGCCATACCTGTGCAAATTTTCAGCATCTTCAATGGTCTCAGGGAGAGGTTTTCCCTTCATTTCAGGTAGGAGCAAAACCAAGCCACCATCAATTAAGCTAATCACAGCTGCAAACACAAAACAGGGATTACAAAGGAAAATAATGGTCATGCCCGAGTTTAATTCCAAGTCACTAATAATTCTGGTTGAGACACAGCTTCCCTGACAATTAAATAAGGGCTTTTCAAAGTGGTAATAAATCTTGGCTTTTTGTCTAGGTCATTCTCATTTTCAATAATTGCAAGTATTTCTGAGGTGTGTTTGAGACCTGGAAAGCCGTCCTGGGCCATAGACCCAGAGGTGATTTGTCTCCCTTAGTTTGTGTACACAGTGTGAAGGAAACCAATTTTGGCTCTAGTTGTCCAGCTCACATGAACCTGGAGTGATGCTAGTGTCATGCCTGCTTTCAGCTATATTAGGACATGCATGAAAGGTTGCTACCAGCCCACCTGGCCAATTTCACTTTCTGATTAGAATCATAGAATCATAGAATGGCCTAGGCTGGAAGGGACCTTAGAGATCATTTAATCCAACCCCTCTGTCATGGCAGGGACGCCTCTCAACTAGATCAGGCAACACATGGGGACTGAACAGGGATCGAAGTTGCGACTCTGGTGTTATCAGCACCATGCTCTAACCAGTTGAGCTAGTTTTAGAGCCTGCTATGACCAAACTTAGAGAGGATGGTGCATGTGGGCACACTGATTTGAATATGTTCAGTAGGAGATATTTAAGACACCCCTTTTTATAGGATGGTCGTCTTAACATCAGGGTGAACATGCTGTTTTACTATCCTAAATTGCCATGGGATTGTTGGCAGACTAGGCTCCTGAGGTGTCAGCAAGAGGTGCAGGGTCACTTTTTTGTAGGGAGACAAGGGGCCATCCTGCTTGGACCTCAGGTCTCATAATCATGTGCAGATGAGAGAGGCAGAACCCAAAGACGTCCACCCCTTGGGAAGGGCTCAGTAGGGCGAAGTCAAAGCATGAAAGAGCTGTCTCAAAAATATGGGGTCTCCTCTGCTGCAGAAAGGGCTGAGGGGTGACTTTGGCACAACTTCCAAGCTCCCAGATGAAACACTTACAAAGCTATGCTATACATACGTCCACACACATTAATATACATCTGGAGAAAAGAAGGCTCCAAGGAGACTTTATTGTGGCCTTCCAGTATCTTAAGGGGGTCTACAAGAAAGCTGGTGAGGGACTTTTTAGGATGTCAGGTACAGATAGGACTAGAGAGAATGGATTAAATCTAGAGATGGATCGGTTGACATTGGACCTTAGGAAAGAGTTCTTCACCATGAGGGTGGTGAGACACTGGCTCAAGTTGCCCAGAGAGGTGGTGGAAGCCCCACCCCTGGAAGTTTTTAAGACCAGCCTGGATGGGGCTCTGAGCAATCTGATCGAGTGAGCGATGTTCCTGCCTATGGCAGGGGAGTTGGAACTAGATGATCTTTAAGGTCGCTTTCAACCCTCAAAATTCTATGATTCTATGATTCTATCTCTCTACATTTTTTTGAAAGGCAAGAAATAGACCACCAAAGTCATTCATCTAGGCTGTGGCCAACCAACCCGCCCAGCCACCCTTACCAAAGACTACTAGGGGCAGTTCGTGCCAGAGCTCTGCCAGTCTGTACACAAGGAAGGGTGTGATGATTCCACCGAGGTCACACATGGATGAGCAGACGAGGACTCCCAGGTTCCTGCAAAGGAGGAACACAGTTGTGCATGTGCACGCACGCACACACACACACAGAGAACATGATGGGCTTTGCCCAGGTTTGCTTGATATGGCTCTGCACCCGGGCAGCACCCAAAGCAGCTGGGAGCAGCACCTTGCCCAGGGGATTTGCAGCTGGTGGGAGGATTGATGGGCTGTGACCCTCAAGGAGGAGAAGACAGCTAACACCCTGGGGCTTAGAAAGGCCTGGCCCCTATCGTGGTGAATACAATAAAAGAGAGCACAGACAGAACACTGTCCCGTGGAGAAATACTGGAAGACGAAACGGATGAAGAGGGAAAGAATTACACAAGGCAAGACATTTAAGACTAGTTCTGTATTGGAGGAGAGAGGTTAGTAAGCATTTGACTTCTCCTGGTTCACTGAACTGCACTGGAAGGGGAGACTAGAGAGGTTCTTACACATCCTCTCAGAAATGAGCTGCCTCAATGCTGAGGACAGAGCTTTGGCCAGAGAAGGTGGTGGTTTTCTGCTGCACAACACAGCAGCCCTCCTCCACCCCTGCAAGGTATATTTTAAACTGCTTTTCCAGGGCAGTGCATGAGCCACAGGCTCCTCAACTGCGTTCACAGCCTTCCGTTGGCCTCTTGCAGTCTCTCTCAGAGCAATACCCAGTGCTTTTACCAGCTGACAGAAGATGGTGCGCTTACCTGAGAAATGTTGGATACAGCTCAGGATTTACCACACAAATAATTTCGTAGCTCATGGTAATTCCCATCCTGCCCAAGCAAGCTGCAGTCATTTTAAGCCAATAAACAGCTGGAAAGATATTGTGCACATTAAGGTTAGCTAACAAAATTACTTTTTCTTCTGCTTTCAACATAAAACAGGAATAAAGATTTTATTTAAGGAAACAGTAAGTTTGCTGTCATTTTGCTGACCACTTTGCAGATCAAGGGGACAGCATGTGATGGTGTTCTGTTTCACTCTATAAAGAATGTATAATGCAATTGTCTTGTGATTCAAGCCAATAACCAAGACTTGGGACTTTGCTAGATTTTTGTCTCCCAGCCAAGGCTCTGCTTGCCCTCTTGCCCCCCGCAGAGCTGGCCTGGGTGAAGAAAACCCATCTTCTGGAGAGATGGACTTCAAGCTATGGGCTTTGAAAGTGCTACAGCTCTTGGCTGGAGGCGTTGCCTCAGGTAGGAGGGGAAGACTGAGGTGTCTGCTGGTGGGGACCGCCACCAAGGCCCATGGGGATAAATCACGGGCTCAGCTGGGCTGGCACCAGTGCCTTCACTGGCTATGCCCACCCTCGGTGCAAGGCACGCACCTGGGCACTGCTGCTGCCCATGCCCTGGCATGGGCAGCAGCTGTGGGACTGTGGGAATCCCACTCTTGCGCTCCCTTATCAAAGCCCAGCCCCCCCTTACACAACTCCCCTGCGCTCCCCAGTCACTTGTTAAAATAAGTTTCCATTGTCTGGACCTCTGTTTTTGTTTTTTTCTGTTACCCTTTGTGGTTTTGTCCTTGTCTCCTTGTGAACCGATAGTTGTTTGGCTCTGTTACGTCTGTGGCTTCAGTCTAGTTGCATTATATAGAGGAAAAGGAAAGATTTTTTCATTCAGAGGCCCTTAAGGGACACGTGGCTTTGAGACTATGGCTCTGGAGAGAACGCGCAGTTAAGCAAAAGCCAAGTTCCTGTCGCCGTGGTTGCTCAACATCCTACATTTATGAGAGCAGCACTGTTGATGTGCAAATGCAGAAAATTCTTGCTCTACCCAGATGGTGTTTAAGTGTGTGCGCGTACCCAAGCATTTTTCGTTTTCAGAAACAGAAACTGAAACCTTAGTGATTCTAAGATGAAAACGCTGAATTGTGCATTCAGATCAAAATTTTATGCCAGACAGAAATTGTGGACTTAACATGGTATATTTTGTGATCTAGCCCTTCAGACTTTCCATTTGATTTGATGCGATTTTGGAAACATGATTCTCCAGTCTCTCTTTAGCTGGTATAAATGCTGATGGCCATAGAATATAATTAGAATCATTTAGGTTCAAAAAAGCCCTTAAGATCATCATTGGATCATCATTAAGATCATGTTCGGATCACAATACCAACATGGGCCAGAGTAAAGAGGATTGCTTTCTGTTTCCCAAGGCAATAATGAAGAGGCAGGGAGATAATTCATTGATAGAGGAGATTTGGACAACTCACTGTCTGGGACTAATGCTGTAATGAGGCAAGCACCACCTGCCATCACGTTTGCTGCAGCCCAGGGATAACGACGGCCAATGCGATCCAGCGTTAGCATGAGGATGAAGGCAGCTGGGAACTCGACGAGAGCAGAATAGAGGAAATCCAGATACATGTTCCCAGAAGCTATTCCTAAATGCATGATGAGCCCCTGGTAGAGGACTGAGCTTGTGAACCTGGGCAGAAACCAGGGAGCAAATGAAATCAAACTCTTTGGGAGAGAGTTTGTGCAAAGAATTGAGATTTGCCGCTGGCTGGGAGCAAAATGACAGTTAAGGGCACCGTATAGCACACCTTCATTTGGGGGTGCAAAAGCCTTCCCTTACCAACTGTACATCAAAATAAATGTGTGTTTTCTGATCTGAGGTGTCCTGACAAGGTCTAGAAATGAAGGTTTCAGCTTTTCTCCATCTTCATCTTCGGAGCTGAGATTCTGGGAGCACAAGCGACAAGAGGGACAAGAAATTACACTAGGCAAGGGAGAGGTTCATGAGAACAGCAATGAATTTCTTTCTGTATTAGTGGGAGGATGAGGGTTTTAATTTGTCAGTTAAGCAACTGAGGGCAAAATAAGTTCTCCAGAGTGTGGGGAAAGGAAACATGAAAATTTGTATAGACAGTCTTCATATCTCTGCAGCCATGTGTATGAGACTGTTTTCCCCAGATATGCTCTGTGAGGGTCCTCAGTAGTCACAGAGAAGAAAACTCTTGCCTTTCCCTTATGGAACTGCAGGGCTCTTGTTGCCAAGCTGCTCCTTATTCTAAACCCCAAGCAACCCTAGACTCGTGGCATTACTTGCCCTGAGGTTTGCGTATATGCAGCAAATGTAATGCAGTTACCTGGAAAGAGCAAGGTAGCTTCTTCTTATTTCCCTTGGCAATGTGCTTTATAACTTCTATAGCTTTGTCATTTTGCTTTTGAGCTATGAGCCACCTGGGAGACTCTGGCAGACACCTGCAACACAAGTGTGACAGAGGGAAGGAAAATGCACACTACCGATACACAGACGGTGAAGATGGAACAGGATTTCTCTGGCTAGGCTCCCACGGTGTATTTAATATGCAGCAAATTGAATATGCCTGGTGATGTTGAACTCAGTAGTAGCTGTGTCTGTCAGTGATTGCACTCTGAATTGTGCTGACAACAACATAACTGATTTTTTTTTTTTGAGGCTAAACGCACTTTATTTTAGTTTGGAAACATTAGTCTGAGATAAATTCTGTTGTCATGTTTTAGAAATGGCTAATAGTCTGCAGTTATAAAAAAGAATAGCCGTAAACACAATCCTTCAGCTCTTCCGTGTTAAAAATAAACTTTTTAATACAAGTCCAAACAACAGAAAACTCCTCCCTGATCTGGTTATGGAATTTTCTAAAGAGCATTTTCACTCATGTTTTTTTGCAAATAGTCAATAAAAGTCTGCAGATTACATGATTAAAAAACCTCACTTCTCACAGTAGCTCAAGTACTGCTCAAGAAATAACGACTGATTAGTTTGCAATGGGTGGCAAAGTCTCCAAACACAGAAGCGTTATGACATGTTGCAGGTAATCCCATGCTTTCAGATGATTCAGACTAAACCCCTGGGCAGGGGGAACAGAACAAGAGAAAAATAGCAGATCTAATCTGATGTTGTTTTAGCAATCGTATGTGGAACGCCATGGTGGGTCCCTACAGACAAGCCTCAACTCCCAGTTACAGTCCCCTGGGTTTGGCTCGGTATTGCTGGGAGATGTGAGAGGCATCACTTACCAATAGTAGAGCAGGAAGAAGAAATTGGGCAGTGTGACTGTGAACTGGAGCCACCTCCACTGTCGAAGCACGTAAGCGAGGGCAGTGAGGACAAGGAGTCCCACGCTGAAGGCAAGCTGGTAAATGATGCCCACTGCCCTCCGGTAGCTTGAGCCAACAAATTCTGCAACTGAAAATACAAGTCTGATGAGCAAAAACGAATTGATTTGGAAAGCTGAAGGAAAATAACCTCTGCCAGCTAAACCCATGTGGACCCCGTGTGTGTAGCTATGTCTTTGTGGTGTGCTGCATGGACATGGGTTTGGATGGGAAAGCAGAGCAGGTCACGTCCCAGGTCCCTACTGCAAATCACAGGACAGGCCCTGACCCTTCCTCCTTTGCCAATCAGCTGGGGACTTTGTCCCTGCCTTCAAGAGTGTCAGGCCCTTACTCATTAACATGGGGTAAATACTGCTTTTTTTCTCCCACTCCTTCTAGCTAAGAACTAAATGGGAAAATAAAATAGCTGGCACTTGCTTGCTCTGTCTCCCTTCTCCAATACATCTTGGGAACAGTCTCCCTACTTGCTGAGCATGTGAAATAGCACAGCAAAAATCATTTTGGCAGCAAGGCACCAAGTGTTATCTCTCACAGCAACATTTGCTGACTTTGCCAAGCAAGTGTCATATGTCTTCGCATCATTTTCAATTAGTTCTTGTCTCCAGACCTTGTCCTTTGTTTTGGCACATGCCTCTCTGGGTACAAATGCTCCCCAGATTCCAAAGCTGCCTTGTAATTATTCCACTTAAGTCTATGAGCTGGTGGAAGCTTAGGTCATAAACATCTACATTTAAGCAGAGAGGTGCAGTTTGGCAGTAAATAGCACCATGTCACTGTCTGCTCTTGTTACACACGCTTCCTTAAAAATCGGATGTCAGAAGCAGGGGGCAGCTCTGCCACTATACAGGGGGTTCTTGCCCAGAAAGTGTAATCGCAAGCTGCCGTAACTGAGGACGTAGCCTGTCAGCCAGCTCCCCTTGCTGACCAGTCCCTGTATCAGGCGGAAGACCACTGTCCAAGAGTAGCTTGGAGCAAAAGCCATGAGAACACCTGAGGCTGCATTGATGAGGACCGTGATCAGGAGGCAGAGTTTGCGGCCAAACCTGCAGAGTGGAAGAATAAAAGAAAGAGGCTCAGCTACCAGCAGGGTAAAGTGGCAAAAAAAAAGTCTTTGAAGAGGCTGGAGACAGTCCCTGTCCCCCTCCTCTCTATTCTTCCCTTAGCAACATTTTGCATTTCAATGGAAGCTCAGAGGACTCCCTTGTCCTGTGTTTTCAGGTCATTGCTCACTTCTGGTTAATGACTCAGCTAATGAGTTCCAGAAATACCCTGATACGCCTCTTGAGCCCACATTTCGCTGCTGCAATAGCTTTTTAATGGGGATCCTGTTCAATAGATGTGATTTTTACCTATTTTCTCATCAACCTTGGCCCACTATTGAGCTCTTCTTAAAGAAGATTTTGTATATCACTGTTATTCGTCATTCCCTGTATCACCATGACTCACCAATAGTCAGAAATGAAATGTTTCCAAAAGAAGAAACTTATTCAGGCACCGAAAAGGCATTTTTTTTTCTAGCTGACAGAGATAGATATTCAGTTGGAAGTAGGTTTTAAAAAAACATTAAATTACTCCATGTCCACCAACAAAAATAGCATTTTCATAAAAATAGCACATTATGATAAAAGCTAACCAGAATAAATGTCTTCTGTCCTCCATAATAACCTCAGCAGATGCCATCATTCAAACTTTCCTCCTTCATGAGCCTGACATACAGATCTTTTTGACTTGTCTTGAAGTTCAGCCCAGAAGAGCCTCCTCACACCACAAGAGAAGTCCTTGCTCGCAAAGATCCACTGCTGGTGCTCCAGCTCTGAATGGCAGAGGTGCAGTGCTGGATGTAACCAGAGACCTCAGGAACTTTCTAGGGACACAGAGGTGCCATTTCCAAGACACGTCTGACTCTTGAATGTCACAGTTAGCAACCGGATACATGCCCGGAGACTGATTAACTAAATGAGTAGATCTAATCCCTCAGAGGGAAGCTCATTTGGAAACACCTTATGAAACATCTCCTGAAGCACCTGAAACACCTGCAGTTGTCTGGAGTACAGTGGTTGCAGCGGTTTCATGCATGAGAAAGCCAGCACACCAGCTGCACTCAGGCTCTCTGAGAAGAGGATGAATATCTAAAATTCAGGAAACACAGAATTCATGGGCTTTTTTCCCATTCCCACTACTAAATCTGAGGCTTCTGGATTTGTTTTTGCCCTAAGCACAACACTCTCTGGGTGCAAAACACTCCCTAGATATGGGATTTTGTATTGCTCTTGAGTGCTTGCAGTACAGGCATGGTGGTGAACTGGGGCAGGATGGCAGCAAACAGAGCTTTAGGAAAGCTTTCAATGCTATGACATGCGCGTGACTTATCTTAGCAGCAATGCTATCCTACTCCTGCTTGCCTTTTCATACTTTTGCTTGATAATAAGTCTTGGTAGAAAAATCCTTTGGTATTTTGACACAGAGAAAGAGCATTTCAGATAGAGCTTGGTGCTGATAAGGTCACGGGTTCGATTCCCCGTTCGGTCCCCATGTGTTGCCTGATCTAGTTGAGAGGCGTCCCTGCCCATGACAGGGAGATTGGATTAAATGATCTCTAAGGTCCCTTCCAGCCTAGGCCATTCTATGATTCTATGATTCTATGATATAAATGGCTGTGGGTTTGGGAGCTCCAGCTTCTATAGCCTCGCACAGCTGTACACTGCCAAGAAGTGCCTTTGCTAGTAAACATGACTGCTTAATCCACCTCTGTGCTGAGATGGTTTGGAGAGTGGTGCCTCTGATGGTCATGGGATCTGCTCACTGCTATTTTATGTCCTGTCATGCCCAGATGAGCAGCTGCTACATATCCTCTTCTTTGGTCCCATAAGCTGTGCATCATTATCTGAGCATTAGTTCTGGGAAAAAAAAGGATGGAACACTTTCAGATTCACTGGAAACTTGGCCAGAAAATGAGGGTTTGGTTTTAAGGGAAAAAAAAGGTGTGGAGATGACACATGTTTCTGATGCAAAAAAGAACCTAAGATGTTTCAAAATATGTGTGAAAAAAGCAAAAATCAGCATAAGCATGTCAACCTTTGTCCTTAAAAATAGACAAGGGACTCTAGTTCAGGGCTGAAGCCTGGATGTAGGATCTTTGAGGTACTGCTGTAGCCATTTGATGTCTTTCATCTGAAAGAGCTTTTTGCCAAAGTTGTAGCAAGACACAAACTATGGCCTGAAAGAGTTGCTTTGATAGATCACCATATTCTGATGAAAAACTTATTTAAGCAGAGAACTTTAAAAATCCATGATCTGGTTCACTGACAGTAATAGAATGGTTTACTGAGCACTGGAAAGCAGTCTGTCCAACCTGTGCACAGGTGAACTTCTTCACAGGCAGGCTTGTCCAGGTGGAGGGATGGGTTGGGGATAGCTAGCACCATGGCACACTTTCCCAACAGAGATGGTATGCTCAACCCAACCCAACCGACGATGTGTTTGCCTGCAATGAAACATGGGAGCAGGGCACAGCAAGACAAACACAGTCCCACCCTTATTTTTTGACACTGCAGAAGTACTATGGGATGTGGATGTGCCCTTTTCCATAGACTTTCCCCCTTGGAGAAGGAGAAAAGAAGAGAATGGTTGCAATATCTGTCCAACAGAGATGATTTTGGAGCCTGATCAGCATGTGAGGAAAAGGCTATTGCTCATTGGGCTCTCCTGTGAAGGATAATCAGGTCTTGATCCAGCTACATACAGAACCAACTGAGGAAAAGGGGAGCAAAGAAGATATAGAAAGGAACAACTTCTATTTCTGTGTGTGAGAAAAACTCTCTTTTTTGAAACTGATTTATAGCTATCTGGATACTGTTAAAAATAATGTGAAGCAAATTTATCACAAAGATGGGCAAATAGTTCTTGATGTGCTAGTTAAAATTTTATCTCAAACTCTGAGCTCACGTTGCAGTTTGCCACTGTGAAAGAAAAAAAATGTCTTCACCTATGAAAGTGCAGACTCCCTACGGAGCCTCTGAGAGGCTGTAAAAGTGGAGTAACACCATGGAATTTCTGTGGAATCCTTGGTTACAACAGTGTTTGAAAGCTGGGCCTTAGAAGCCACTGTTCATCCCTTTGTAAGTGACCCACGGGCCTCTTAAATCAAGTTTTAATTGTGTTCATTTCCTCTTTGGATCCTGAATTATTCAGCACCATGAAGAAAGCAGCTAACCAGTTGACAGCCGGCTGAATATGAGCCAGCAGTGTGCCCAAGTGGCCAAGAAGGCCAACGGCATCCTGGCTTGTATTAGAAATTTTGTGACGAGTAGAAGATGGGAGGTGATTGTCCCTCTGTACTCAGCGCTAGTGAGGCTGCACCTTGAATATTATGTTCAGTTTTGGGCACCTCAGTATAAGAGAGATATCAAAGTGTTGGAGCAAGTGCAGAGGAGGGCAACAAAGCTGGGTGAAGGGCCTGGAGAAGAGATCTTATGAAGAGCGACTGAGGGAGCTGGGACTGTTCAGTTTGAAAAAGAGGAGGCTGAGGGGGGACCTCATCATGCTCTACAATTACTTGAAAGGACACTGTAGAGAGGTTGATGCTGGTCTCTTCTCACAGGTAATTAGGGACAGAACCAGGGGGAATGGTTTCAAGTTGCAACAGGGCAAGTTTAGGCTGGACATTAGGAAGAAATTCTTCACAGAAAGTGTGGTCAGACACTGGAATAGACTGCCTAGGGAGGTGGTTGAGTCGCTATCCCTGGATGTGTTTAAATGTCGCTTGTATGTGATGTTGGGTGATATGGTTTAGGGGTGAACTTGTAGTGTAGGGTCAATGGTTGGACTCGATGATCCCAAGGGTCTTTTCCAACGTGTATTGTTCTATGATTCTACGAAACAGTTCATCTCACACCTGTCTACATGCTACGTACCTGTCTGCTATGTAGCCAATGCTCATGGAGCCAATAAAAAACCCAGCGTTCACACAGGACTGGAAGAAGTCCAGCTTCCAGGAGTCCTCACACACCAGGTTATACTGCAAAGGTAACCAGAGTTAGAAGAGTGGGAACATTCAACTCAAACCATGGCTGTTGGAGGGGAAAGGAAACCAGTAACACACCACTAGAAAATAGGCTCAAGGAAAGAAGCCCTTTAATCTCTTAAACTGACATCTGTACTACATCTTGTCTGGATTTCCCAAACCTTGTAGAAAAGTTACTCCCTGGAAAATGATTTCACAACAGCACTTAAGGACAACGAAAAAGAGAGAGAAACTTTGAACAGACAAATTAAAAAGTTCAGAAAAATCTCATCTGCTTGAAATTTGGAGGACACTCAGAGAATCTTTTCCTTCCCAGATGCCAGGGCCTGTCCCTAACCACACATTGTCTCACTGCCTGAAAGCAGGGCTGGCGTGAGAGGTGGTGGGGCTGCCGTGAGCAGGCAGCTGTCCCGCTCCTCAGCATCACTGGCAAAATGCCCATAGTTTGTTTGGCTTTCCTCTGCAGTGAACTGGTACAATTAATAGGTTACCAACCCACACCCAGTGAAGGGAGCAAGGCAAACTGGTGTTAACTTCTCTGCAACCGAAAATATTCATTCAGATGTAACTAGACTTTAGCCCCCCAAAAGAAGCATGGATGTCTTAGGCTGCTTATTTTTTATTATCTTTCTACCCTGGAAAAGTGTGCTGTGGCCGTACCAAGCAGCCCCGATCAGTTTCCCTGGCTCGACTGACGTGGAGGACAGTGAGGAATGCTCTTCTCTGTTTCAACCCATCAGTCCCAGGGGAAAGTGAGGTGGAGTTGCTTTGTAATGGTGTCAGTAGTGAGGCAAGGGAATACGAATACCCTGCCTGAGGAAGCTGTGAAATATTCAGCATCACAGTTTTTTAAGAATGGGTTACAGAAACATCTGATAGACATGGTTTAGATATTGTTAATGCAGATTTGGGACTGAAGGAGAAGTAAAAGAGATCTCTCCTGAGGTTCTTCCTATGCTTCAGGTCTCTACATGGCTTTTAGACTGTTAGTATTGGTTTGCATGTTTTTTCACTTCATAAACTATCTGATTTAGATAGTGTAAGGTGGAAGAAAAGAACATTTCTCTTGCCAAGTTATTATTCTGACAAATTTAGCCCCATCTACCTCTTGTTTATTGTACATGAATATCTGTTTGGATTATCATCCAAATTTGCAATACTTCATTTTGGGCTAGGAGGTAGTACCTCAGTCTAGTGACTGAAATATTGAATTATGAGAACTGCTATTGTCTGATTAGTGACAAACTTGAACTATTATCCTCTTAGGAAAAGCAATAATTTCCCACTATTTATCAATATAAATCTTTGCTCCAAGTCCCTAGCAAGTCCTGATATTCAGTATTTATTAGCAGTCAAGCTCAGGCAAAAAGCAAACTTTACCAATCCATCATCTTCTAACTTCAAGGTGTGCAGGCAAGAGTGATTTTGCTGGACAAACTGTGTCTTACCTCTGTCACAATAGAGGTTCCTGGGGTATCATAGACCCAGCCATGCTGGCAGGGACCGAGGGGGACGGTGCTCTGGTTGCCTACGATGCTGCCGAGGGGGTCGGTGCAGCTGATGCCCGTGGTGTTCCAGTCCACTTTGTACCTCCTGCAGCGGCTGCTGAAACTGGCCCCATGGCTGCCCCACTCGGGAACCGTGTGATTCAGCTGCTCCTCCAGGCTCCAGCCACACTGCTGGCTCAGCTCTGCCATGCCGGGGCTGCGGCAATGGTGCTCGGGGGTGAATCCCAGGAAAAAAATCCCCACATAAATGGGAACGAAGGTAGCAGAAAGCAGGCATAAGAAAAAGAGGGTGCGTTTCTGGAAGAAGTCAAATTCTCCAATCTGCTCTAAAATGTCATCCAGTGTTGGCATCTTTGTATGCTGCAACTCATTAAAATTTCTCAGTTGCCTTCCAGGGCTTTGCCCTTTACTGCATGCTTAAATAACAGCCAAAGTGTTGCTCAAAACTCACAAACAAATAATTAATTAACTTTGTCAATTGTCAAGCCATGCATCACAACCTTCATTTCTCAAAAGTTGTTTCTAAACACACTTTGTCTCTTCTGTTTTGGCCTCCATTGTTATTTTGTTTTGTATATAACACACTTGAAACTCAAGAGGTGATATCAGAGACAATGTCCATTTCAGTCTGTCAGTGCACAGTACCCCTATGGAGTAGGTGATGATTCCTTTGTCCACTATTTTCAGAGGCCATAAATATTACGAAAGCAATGTTGTCCTCTCCCTTGTATATCTACAACTGAAGAAGCTTATACTCAGAATTACACTGGATATGGATAACTGCTTGCATGCTGCTTTGGGGGTGTAGAAAACAGAGAAGACACAACAGGGAAGATTTCTTTTAAGCACCTGATAGTTAAATAATAGTATCAGGTTCCAAAGAGGAAGCAGACCAGCTGCCCCAGCACAAGTTGGTACTTTTGAGACAGAGGTGCCCAGACTGAACTTGTGGGGGTCACATGCAGCTGCCTCATACCCAAGGCACTGAGAGTGGTTCCGAGACCCATCACCAGCCTTCATGTGCCCACCTTGTCCTCTGCCTCCTGCCCTGCACCGTGGGAAGGCATCAGGGAAGAGGTTGCCGTAAACCACAGCCCTGTCTCACGAACATTTTACAGCTATTTCACATAAATTTATTAGACAATGCAACTGTGTAAATGTGTGTTAGGCAATGGAACTGTCCTCTACCTCTTTTAGTGAGGAGGATGATTTATGTCATGTTCCCATAGCCATAGTTGCATGAGGTCCTTTCAAGTTGTTGCCCATTTTCTTGCCCTGTAAAAAATTAGCTTATGTCAAATAATGTAAGCAATGATGAAGGACTGTAAGAGGTTCAGCAAAGCTGAACATCAAAAGTGTAGATCTGGACAAAAAACATCTATGGGCAAAGATTTCTGCCTGCAAATTTTCTGCACACAGTTTTATTATCCCTCCTTCCAAGCCAGATTGTGCAACAGCCTTCCAGTACCTAAACAGGGCCTACAAGTAGGCTGGAGATGGACATTTTACAAGGGCATGCAGTGATATGACAAGAGGGAATGGTTTTAAACTGAAAGAGGACAGATTTAGATTTAGATTAGATATTAGGAAGAAACTCTTTACTGTGAGGGTGGTGAGGCACTGGAACAAATTTCCCAGAGCAGCTGTGGCTGGCCCCTCCCCGGCAGTGTTCAGGGTCAGGACGGATGGAGCTTTGAACAGTCTGGTCTAGTAGGAGGTGTTCCTGCCCATGGCAGGGGAGTTGGAGCTAGATCATCTTTAAAGCACCTTCCAACCCAAACCATGCCAAGATTCTATGATTTTGCAGCTTGTTTAATGCTTCAGGAAGGAAATCCCTGAGAAGACTGCTATGACCGAGTTAATTTCCCCCTGAGGAACACTCAGTGACCTCTCTGAATTTTATGAAGCACAAAACTAAACCTTGGAAGAAAACAGAGGTGATAAGTAACGTGATATTTTAAAGGGCTATTAATACCAAGCCCTGTTGAGTTACAACGATTGGCATACCTCAGAACTGTCATGAATCACAAATCAGGCTACTACTTTGCAATAAACATCTTTCACAGTTAAGAAAAGACTAGACCTTTGACCGTTTACAACTAAACTGTTTACATATCTCTGTTCAGGTCTGTTTTACATCAGAAGCAGGGAATGAGCTATTCTATCTGTTAATGCTCAACGAGTTTGCTGCAATAGCAACTTTTAAACCTTGCACTGACCAGCAGACACATTACTCAGGAGCGCGCATATTTGATGCATTTGTTAAGAGCTAAAGTCTGGGTTAGCCAAAACTGAATTAAATGCAACAAGAAGTGCATAAAGCAACCTGGAAATTGCTTTACCCTTTTGCTGATGCTGTCTAGTGTAGTTTCATGCTGGGGAGAGCAAGAAGGAAGACTGATGCAAGTGTTGTATACGTATGCCAGTTATATTGGCAGAAAGTTCTTTCTCTGCTTTTGAGGAATATTGATATTCTTTCTCTTGGAAAACCTCTAGTGTCACTTGGATACTCTGTTGTATTGCCAGTAAGCGAAGTGTTGTCCTATAGTGGGACTGACTATTGAGTAGCTTCATGTATTTCATGACGTCCAGAATTTTTTGTAATTGACATCTGAGCTGTCCTCAGATATCCTGGCAAGACTGTCTCCTGTGTACAAAGACAACAGTCCTAGGGGAACTGAGCTATCCCTCCACCCAACAGAACGGCATGTGACTCTTGTCACCTGGACACACCTGAGTGCATTCATTTAACTGGGAGCAGAGCAGAGAGTAAGCTTCCATGCAGTTCTGCCAGCAGATCTGGGTTCACATGAATAGTGGCAGTGTGACAGCTGCCAGGGTCACATTCATACCGAGAAACTAAACAGGACTGTGTAAGGGCTCAAGCACTGTCCCACATCCACACTGCTTAATGTTTACCATCCTCCCTTTGCCCACACAGGTTTGGGGAGGTGATACTGAACAGGCTGTTTCTGGTAAGCAGGAAGGAAAAAATCATCCTGACTGGGGATGGTGTATACAGATGTAAGTTGTGTCATGCCCAATGCCTTCAGCAATAAAAAATGGGCCTGCCCATTTAATTTATTAGTACAGATGCACCATGGACATCAATCAGCATATAATGTGTAAGGCAGCTGAAGAAGCAAAGTAAACAAAGCCGGTGTGCCTCTGTTACCAGAGGGCATCTGTGCCTCCAGCAGAAGCCCCATATTGCCCTGCAGTGGCAAGTTTGTGAAACAGTGTCAGCTGTAATACTACATATAATCAGGAATCCCTTCAGTTTACAGTAGTGAAGCATTACCATACCTACTTTAAAACACATCAGCCTTCCAAAAGCTGGGGTAAGCATTCTTGTACTCTGACCTTTCTGAGCTTTAGATGTATGCTTACAGCATTGGGTGAAATGTGAACAAAGCAAAGCCTGAAACACTGTTTTTAAAAAATGACAGGTACAAGACAGATGTAATCCAACCATAAAAACAATGCAAACTGATAATATATATAACTCTTGGATGTCAAACAATAGTCCTGATTTAAATATCTGAAAGCATCTTCTCATGAAATCACTCCTGAAGACTGAGAAACTGAGGCAGAGACATCTGACAGGCTGGTTCTTCAGAGATACTGGTTTTCAGGTCTTTGAGAGAGCTAAAATGATTTACTAGAGGTGTCTCAGACTGACATTTCCATTTAGATGCCTCCTGAGGTTCTCTCCTACAAGCCTTCTTCATGAATAAACATTTCTGTATTCTTTCATCCATGCCATTTAGTAATGATTTTGGTTAGGTAATTACCTATGTATATTGACGTTATCACAGCTTTGTTTCCTGTGAGTATAACAAGAGCATAGATGATTAACAGGGAACTTTGACTACAATGCTGTCTGCCATAATCACATGCTACCATGGACCTGAGCAGGACATACTAGGTTCAGAGGAATGAAATGAAGAATCTTTGGAAACATCCAAACAACCAGCAAGTTGTGCTCCCACTGGGATGGACTGTCTGTACACTGGGGTGCAGGTGCATGAGATGGGCTGAGCCACTCATTTCTTGCTGTGAAGGTTCCACTGTTCATCCCCTTTCCTACAGCCTGTTCTGGCACTTGTTGGTCCTTTACTCCATGGATTGAGTCAACTCACTAAGTAGGCAGAGGCTGATCCTAGAAAATACCTGGGTAGATTTATCCTTAGGGGCTCAGTGAAGGGATGAGGAAGAATCAGCACAAGGAGGGGATAGAAGCACATGGCTGGTAGCTGCTGGAAGAGGGAAGCTGGAAAGGAGAGAGAAGAAGCAAGTTGTCCTCCCTGTGGTGATGGGGAGATCAGCTGTCTCGTAGCTTTTGGTAGGGCTTCACCTGGGCTAATGGCAGCCATATAACAGCTGAGGATCTAGATGGAGCTAGTTGTCTACACCTGTTGTCCAGGCCTTCCAGTCAATAGAGAAGGACAGGTACTTCCAGATATATACCCACACGTATAGCAGCAGCCTACAGAGGTGATTAATAGTAGATTTGTGCCTCCAGAGCTGTTAATAGCAGTTGGAGCACCCCACAATACACAGCTAATCTGGACAAGGTGTTGACATGAGGAGACATTTCTGATAAATTAACCGGTGCATAAAGTGCTGAGCTCATGGTGGGGCTGACTGCAGGTAGCCAGACAACACCTGATCTCATGTAACTCCCACTGGGATAAAGGTGTGTGTCAAAAAAAGGCTTAAGAAAATTCAGAGTGCCAAAGAGTCTGTGATACTCCAGTGCTTTGCCTCATGGAATCTCAACTCTTCAGATCAGCACTGAGACAGAAATCTAAGAGCTGACTATAGAGGGAGCCTAAGCACCCTGTTTTTAGGCTGCTCAAGTTATTTCAAACAACATGTGTTTGCACTTGAAATTTGTTTGCACCATGAGAACGTAATTCATAACTGAGAGAAACAAAGTGTACTTTATGGTTGGCTCACATACCACTAACACATTTTTCTTAGATGATAATCATCACACTATATTTGGCCAAACCCTCTAGTTTCTGATTATTTGCATCTAGATCCAAAAGTCACAGCTTGAGGTAATTTCCTCATTGAACACTAACTACCGCTTAGAATTGTGCAACCTAGGAATATCTCTCTTGGAGACAAAGACTGCTCAGTGCACAGCCTGCACTCCTTGGCTTTTGCCATGGCATAGAACATGACGTGCTGCTGGACTTTGAACATTTCATTTCTGCAGTTGTGAGGTGGCATGGCTTTTGCCAAGGGTGAGAGTGCTGCTGAGCTGCTGTGCCACTGGCATTTGGGTCCATGAGCTGCTGGAGCTCTGTGTGAGGAGCTGCTTGGACCAGGATGAGGGATGC